CAGAGGGAGAAGCAGGCTCCTCGCTGAGCAGGGAGCCCGATGTGGGACTCGATCCCGGGACTCCAGGACCATGACCTGAGCCGAAGGCAGTTGCTTAACCAACTGAGCCACCCAGGCGCCCTGGGTCGGGACCCTTTTTAAGCCCAGACCCTACCACACCAGGAGAAAGGTCTGTCCCAGTGGGAGGGATGACAGGGTCCTGGGTTGGCTCGGCGGGCAGGTGGCAGCATTCCTGGCAGGCCAGGGTCTCTGGGAGTGTTCCAGGCCAGGTGAATATGCACACACGGCCAGCAGGACCCTACAGAGCTCAGGGCCTGGGCCAGTGTGAGGCTGGGGCGGGGACCCTGGATCGGGGCGGGACTCAGCTTCTCCGTCCAGGGAACCATGAGTGCACGGCAGGTCCCAGGGTCAGATTCTGAGGAGAAAGAGCTCTGTGGGCTACTGCTGGCTGGGGCCGGAGCAGAGGGACTGTGGGCGGCACAAAGGCAGTGGGGGTGGGGGGAAGGGGCTGGATCCCAGATAGTCTGCGAGGGCTGGATGTGGGGACCTAGGGGGCAGGTGGCGGCCCATTCAGCTGTGAGAGCAAGCTGGCGCGGGCCCCTCCATCTAGGTGACGGTGACAGGGAGGGGGAGAGATGTTGCTGAGCCAGGGAAAGCAGCGTCAGGACTGCTCGGAGACAAGAGCAGGATACCCAGCGTCCGCTAGGGGCTGGACTAGGGGGCTCCGGCTGCCGCCCCCCTGCCCCCTCCCGGGTGCTCAGGCCCATTTTATCGGCTCCCAGAGCTGTCAGGACCCAGGGCTGTTTAGCCGGCACGTCCTACCAGGAAAAAGCCTCTCTCCTGCACCGCCCCCCACCGAGTGTGCGCGTTGGTGCATGCTGAGCGAGGAGTGCCCAAGGCCGGAGATGGGGCCGGGCTCTGCCATCCACGGGGGCGCCAGCCAGCGGCCTGGTGGGAGGAGGGGGGCTGGCTCGGTCACCTGCCCAGGACGGTCATGGCCTCGCCCTCATCGCTGCAGCCCAGCAGCTGCTCCATGTTGGCATCCAGGATGGCCAAGGCCACCTGCAGGATCACCTTGATGCCCTCGTAGAAGAAGCAGTCAACGATGACCACAGCGCTCTCGAAGGGCATGACACTGAGGAAGAGGGTCAGGAACCAGGACAGGGAGATGCTGGAGATCACCCCCAGGTCCTGCATCTTCTCGGACAGCTGCGGCAGGAAGTCTCTCGTGAGCTCCTCGAAGATGCCTTGGTCCACCAGGGCCCCTAGGGAGAGGACAAAGAAGTCTGAACGCCGGGCCCACGCCTCTGGCTTGGGCCCCAGGGTGGGTGTGGGGAGCCCACCTGATCCCCGGCCAGCTCCGCTCACTCGCAGGGCTGGAGGAAACGGGAAACAGTGTGCGGGTTTCCCTCTACGGCGTCCAAACCACTGTGTGAAAAGAATACTTGCCCCCACTGTGCTTGGATCTACTTTTGGGGAAATACAAATCTCTCCTTTCTAGAAGTGTCTGCCGTGTGTCCTGCCCTGAAGCTTGTGAACAGATGTATGATTATAAAGGACCCCGAGAGGGGGAGACCCCCAGAACCAAATGGTGGGGGAAGGACATCTCAGAGCCGCAGACTGAGTCACGTACATAATTAAGTACGTTTGCCAACGCATCTCCACTTAATCACTCAGACTCTATGGGCTGCCGTTCCTAGTTGCTGAGGCCGGGTGACAGGCACCCGGGGATGTATGGACTCCTTGCCCTGGCTGCGATATGGAGATCTTGCACAGTAAAAAGCCTTGCGGAGAGTTACAGGGGTGAGAACAGAGGCCCCAGGCCTCTCACTGACAGCTCCCGGGGAGCTGCATGCAGTCTGGGCAGATGGCCGGGAGTCTGCGTTTGGTCTCCACCTTCTAGCTGTGTGCTGATTTCTCAGCCTCCTCATCCGGGGAATGGGGGCCGTGAGTGTCTGCAGCCCGCTGCGCGTCTGAGAGGCCTCTGAGAGCTCACCCATGCAATGTGCCTGGTGCGGAGGCTGGCCCAGGGAGAGCCGCCACCCCGTGGGGAGCCGTGGGGCCCCAGCACTCACCCACCACCCTGGTGTTGTAGTAGTCGGGCAGCATGCGCTCACAGAGGGCCACCAGCAGCCAGAAGGCCTCCTCCTCACTGCCATAGAGCAGAAGCACGGACGTGACGATGTTCATGGCCTGTGGGCACGGAGACGGCAAGGGGGAGGCTCACAGGGCTGGGCCGCCAACTAAAACCGCCCCGTGCCCCCAAGGGGCCTGCATGGCCTCACTCTCCAAGCAAGTCCCACAACGACAAACTATCTCACCCAACTCCAGGCCATTTGCCAAAGACCATTTGCAGGAAACCAATTTGACAAAAACCATCAGCCAGACCCCTCCAATCGGGCCAGTGGGCACTTGGAAAGCCGAGAGGGAGAGTATGAGCATGTGGCCCTTCTTCAGAGCGGTTTCTGGTGTCGGAGGTGTGACAGGGGGCCAGGCGGATGGGAACGTGAGCCCCATGCAACAGCTACACGGCTGCGGTGAAACGGCGGGGGGGGGAGGGTCGGCGCACAGCCTGAGCCGATAGCAAGGCTTCTCAGAAAAAGCTTTCGATGGCAGAGCTTCTCTTAAAAATTCTCTAATGCCAGCACACGGGCTTGCCCTGCCCCGGGAACAGGTCACGCAGAGCACTGGCCGTATGGAAAGGGACTTCAGAGGGGGTGGCATGCTTCTGGGAAACCCAGACGTGGGCTCCGGGAAACAGAATGCCATTGGACTGGGCCGGGGAAGTGCCCCCCGGATATAAAATTGGACGCTGCTGGAAGTGTAAGTCGAAACCACGATGAGATGCCACCTCACGCCAGCAGCGTGGCTACTGCCCACGGGCCGGAGAGCCAGCGTGGCAAGGGTGGGGGGCAAGTGTAACCCTGTGCATTGCTGGGGGGGCACGTAAAATGGTGCCAATGCCGTGAACAGCACTATGGGGATTCCACACACACAAAATGGAAGGTCGGATTACCACACGGTCCAGCAGTTTCACTTGTGGGTACGGACTCAGGAGAAATGAAAGCCGGGACAGGAACAGACACCGCATGTGCCCGCTCACGGCGGCGCTACTCACAAGAGCCCGAGGCGGAAGCCACGCAAGCGCGCAGCTGAAGATGCATGGGTGAACCGAATGTGGCCTATTCGCGGAGTGTGATACGGTTCGGCCTCAAAAGGGGAGAAATTCTAACACGGGACGCGACAGGGATGAGCCCCGAGGACGCTGCGCTAAGGGAGCAAGCCGGTCACCAAAAGGCGAATCCTGTGTGACTCTGCTTCCAGGAGGTACCGAAGGCGGGCAAATCCATGCAGAACGGGGAGCAGCAGGGGAGATGTCTGCAGACCCTCAACACCCAAATGCCCCAGCCCCCGGCCGCGGCACACAGAAGGCAGTATGTGCTATGGGGGGACGTGAACGGTGAACGGTGTCCCTAGGTACAGCTCTCTTGGGGGTCAGGCTTTTCCGGGGGGCACGGGGCACAGTCACTCAGGCCTCTGCTGAGCAAGCCACTGGCAGGAGATGCGGCCTCTGGGCCCGGCTCGCCCCCTTTACCTGACAGTAGCCGATGGTGGGGTTTCGGAAAGCGTAGGCGGTCAGCACCCGCCGGAGGGCAGCGATGCCCAGCTCGTTCTGGAAGGCGGGGTGCTCGGGCATGGAGCGGTGGAGGTCCCGCTCGATCTCCTCCGTGGCCAGGCTGGACTTCCCCGTGGACTTCTCCACCAGCTCAGCATAGTAACCAGGGTGCGTCACCATCTCGTTCCAGGCCCCTGTGGAGACGCAGCTGGCAGCCGTCTCCCTCGCCCTCCCCTCCCGCGGGGGCCCTGGGGTCCGTTAGGAGGCGTGAGGCAAGGGTTCCCTGGTGACCAGTCCTGGGAGGGGTCGCCCCCCCCCGCCCCAGTTTGAATGGCCTTCTTGTGAAACCGTCCAAGTGGCCAAGGGCGTGCGTGGGAGGCCCGCAAGTGGGAAGGCACTGTCTGGGCGACAGAGCCCTGCCCTTGGTGCCTGCGCCCCAGGACGGTGCCCCCGGCTCGGGCCCCTCACCGCTGAGAGCCCCATTTTGGCCTAGGAAAGGGCTAGCAGCTCCTGTCTGGCTGACTTGGGAGGCCGGGTCAGGGGGGCTCTCACCCAGCGGCCCTAGGGGGCCGGGCCGATGCCGGGGCAGCTCACCAGAGAAGAGGAGCCACAGTTCCCCGCGGAGGCTCTCAGGGATGCCCTTCAGCACCAGCTCCCGCGTTTTGGCCGTGCGGTACATGCACACGCCGCGCCCGTATTCAAAGAAGTGAATGTTCCACGACTCCTCTTTCATCTTCTCCTTGGCCTAGGGAAAAGCAAGCACTGGGTCTGGGCGTGCGCGCCAGGGCCCTCCTCCATCTGCGGTGCACGTCTGTGAGGGCCCAGGCTGGGCGGGGCATGGCACCACCCCGAGGCAGCAGCGAAATGAGCCTCCGTGCAGAGGCCTAGAGTCTGGGGTGACCGGCCCTGCCCCACGGGTCGGGCAGGGTGCCCCTGGACAGTGTCCTTCGGGGGCCCGAGGACCTGAGGTGGCGTGCAGGCACGAAGCCCCCTCCCAGGCCCGGGTCCTGCATGGCGATGAGGTCCACGCTCTGGGCTTACCCCCTTGGCCCCCAGGTCCTCCATGGGCGAGTTTCCCTGGAAGAGTTTAAGCAGCCCCTGCGATGCGGTCGGGGCCTCCTGCACACTGGAGCTCTGGCGGCCCCCCAGGGGTGTGGTGGGGCTGGCGGGCTGATCTGAGGCCTCTGCAGGAGCTGGGGAGTGCTGAAAAACACAACACAGGAGGGAAAGCACCTGGTGAGTGAGCTGCCCAGAGCGGGGTCTCTGATGTGCAAGCCAGTTGGCTGTTTGAGCACGTGGCCCCCGGCCTCGGGATTGGCTCCGGTCGGGACTGTCGGGAAAGAGCAGCGGGCCCCACAGAGCCCAAGTGCCGAGCCACAAAGTGGAGCGGAGGTGGGGCGACACTGGGGCCAGACCGGCCCGCACAGCCCTTTGCAGATGGACAGAGTCCTAACTGAGGCAATCGTCCCGCAGGAGCCCTTGATGACTGCTGAGCCAGGGAACGAGTCCTCTCCTATCCCCTCTCCCTCAGGCGACCTGTCCACTGTGCCCTCAAGGGCCCTTCCAAGAAGAAGGGGCTCCCACAGGGCTGGCTGTTGCCCCCAGAGCTCCCCGAGTTTCTGTCTTCCTCTGGCCCCCACGTCTGGTGTGTGGTGCACCCCACAGCGGTCACACAACCTCTTGGCTCTGGACACTCATGTCAGCTCAAGACTGGGTGCTGTGGCATCTGGCGAACTAGAACTGGGTGTGTGAGGCGGGCTCCCCGCCTGCAGACCATCTCTGCCATGGGCACCACAGGCTACTTCCCCCACAGGGCCTCGCCCCGAACGGGGCCTCGTGTGAGAGGGGGCCCCAGGTGGAAGCCCAGGGATCTGCTTTCCCACCGCACAGCCAGCCGAAGGGCAAGAGGAATGGACCGTGGGGTGGCTCGGGGGAACGTGCCAGGGTGGGGGGCAGTATGGGGCTGGCAGGGGGAAGGAGGAATCAGAGACAGAGGTCTGCGGGGGAGCCCTGCCTTTCAGGGCTCTTCCCCTGGTTTTCTGGAACCCTCCCCTGGCCAACGCATCTCAGGGGAGCCCTGACCCTTCAGGCCCAGCATGGCTGATGCGTGACATCCGTCCCCTGCTCGAGCACTGTCCCTGCGGCCTTCCAGGTGAGCTCGCCGTGGGTAATGGCCTGCGCAGGGAGCTTGTCTTGTCCCCTGGCCCAGGGGCTCAGGAGGGCCACAGCTGGTGCCCGTGTTCCCCTCGGCTCTCTCCCTGAGCACCCACCGGCAGGAACAACACTGCTCTGAGTGGACACTCGTCACTGGCTCCCCTCAACCCACTTCCCCTTCTGCCAGCAGCCAGCTCCCCATTTCTCTGGCGGGGGGCACATTTCTCTCCGCTCTTGGCTTGGCACTTTGTGGGCTCCACTGAGAACCGGGGTGAAGCCCTGAACTAATAATTAGCTGTTCCCACCCCAGGGCTCAGGGGGGCGGGGCTGGAGGCACTGTGTCACCTGGTCGCCACTGAGGACGTGCAGGGGTGACTCTGCAGGGAACGCTGGGATGAGCCGAGGATGCGGGGGTTGCCACCAGCATCCGGGTCCCACACATGGCCCGGGAACCAAGCCCTCCTGGCGGAAAGCCCAGTCCAGTGGGGAGAGGCCCCTGTGACGTCAGGCAGCCCACCCTGAGGACTTCTTGGCTTGTGGGCCAGTAAGCCCCACCTTTGCATGTCGTGCTCCAGCCTGGGTCTTGTCATCTCAGATCCCCCCAACGCCACCCCCATCCCGGCCATGGTCCCATCCTCCAAGTGGCAGGGGCAGGGGATGCTGTTTGGCTTCCTGCAGGACCTCACCCTCTCTGTGGTCCTTGTGAGAGAGCCCTCTTCTCGGCTGCAGTGAAGGGTCCACAGAGAGTACGTGTTAAACCCACCGAACTGTACTCTTTGAATATAAAGGGCATATTGTACGTCAGTTTTGCCGCGGAGATGCTGTCTTTAATAAAAAGGTGGGGGGAGAAAGAAAAGGAAGAGAACTCTGCTAGGTCCCATCCACAGTCCACCCCTCTGCCCCCGGCTGGTGTTCCGGAAGTGGATTTTGGGTCTGCTAGGATACATTTTCATGACGAACTGCGCAGTCTGTGGAGGCACAACGCCAGACCAGACCGACATGGAGATTCTGCTGCCCGCCTGAGGTTCCCCAAAGGGGCCGGGACACAGAGGGACCTGCAGGCCCCAGAGCACCTCCGAGAATCAGGCTCTCAGTGCTGCAGAAGGGCACGGACTCCAGGGTGTGGCCTTGGCGACGCCGTCCTGTGCGGCACCTGCGTGCGAGACGGGGAGCTCACAGGCCACGCCACCTGGGAGTCCTGCATTTTCCTGGGCCCGTTCCTCCCGTGCCTGCAGGTGACCGCCTCACACATCGGTCCAGTGCCAACCTCCCGACCCACCTCCCCACCTCCCCACCTCACTTCCTGCTCAACAGAACCTCTGGCCTCCTGCTAGACTGAGTGAGCGAGCGAGCGGGAGCAATCTGAGGCCCGTCGTGGCCACGGCCATCAGCCAGCCTTCCTGCATCCGTGGCCCACAGGCCCAGCCTTCCGCCTCTGGGACGGGGATCCTCCTCTAGGCGACTGCCCCCGCAGAGGGTCCACGGACGGGATCCAGCAGGCGCCATCCCTACAAGCCCTCCTCATGCTTCCGCAGGGGGCGCTCACACGCCGTGTGCACTGAGCTGTCCACCTATGCTCCCTGCGCTTTAGTGTATGTTATACCTCAACTAAAGTGACCCGTTCTGCTCTGCTGACCTTTATAACAAACTCCTCAAAAGAGTTGCTGAAACTCACTGCTTCCTTTCCCCCAGTTTGCCAGGAAGTACACCTTCTCGTTCTGGTATCTAACATCCAGCACCCCGGTCCGTCCCCCCAGACCCTGTTGATCCCTCCCGTGGGCAACGCTGAAATTCGCGAGCGTGCCTCTTCTCGCCCTCCCTGCTCTCCCTGCCAATGTACAGTGATACACTTTCACTCCCAGGTAAGGAGGCAATCGATGAGCTTATTCTACTTTCCATGCCTTTTTTTAAAAAAGATTTTATTTATTTATTTGAGAGAGAGAGAGAGCAAGTGAGCAGTGCATGAGCAGGGAATGGGCAGAGGGAGAGGGAGAAGCAGACTCCCCGCAGAGCAGGGAGCCCGACATGGGGCTCGATCCCCGGACCCTGAGATCATGACCCGAGCAGAAGGCAGAAGTTCAACCGACTGAGCCACCCGGGTGCCACTTAAAGCCGTTAGATTTCTTAAATTCCTCCATGTTCTTTACTTACTGCCTGTGGTCTTCACTCCTGAATCTTATTTTTCCCATATAAAATTCTTTGGTCATGGTTTTTTAAAATTATATATCTTTAAAATGTTACTCTTGGGGCGCCTGGGTGGCTCAGTCGATTGAGCGTCTGACTTTTGATTTTGGCTCAGGTCATGATCTCAGGGTCCTGGGATTGAGCCCCACATCAAGCTCTGCACGGAGTCTGCTTGAGATTTTCTCTCTCTTGCCCTCTGCCACTCCCCCCCGCCCCCAGGGTTGTGTGCTCTCTCTCAAAAAAAAATAATAAACCTTAAGAAAAAAAGATCTCTGATGCTTATTTAAAAAAATTAAAAATAAATAAAATGTTACTCTGTATAAAATGTTGCTATCTAAAAGTCTGAACCTACTCTGATTTTCTTCTTTCATAAATGACTTGGGGCTTTTTTGACTGGTTGCCCCAAAGATTTTTTTTTTTTAATTTTTAGTTTTTACTGCATTCTGTTAACAGTACTGACTATTCTGGACTGGTTTTCCCAAAAGTACGACGTGCCCTTCCACCGTGCAATCAAGTCTTTTTACACTCAGAAAAGTTTTCTCGATTGGTAGTTTCTATCAGTTGTTATTCTATGCTCTTCAGTTTTCTGTTTCTATTATTTTACGGTCTTTGCTATTCTACGCTCTTATACATAAGTTGGATCTTCTTTCTCTGACTTTTTTATCACAGCTCCTGACCATTTTTTTCTCTTGTTTGGCCCTCCCTTGACCCCCATCCCTTCCTTATCCCTTCAAGTCTATTCATTGTTGTGTTCTCCTTGTGCAATACTTAATTCTGAAAAATTTCTCCTGAGTCCTATCAACTCTCCTTTCTGTTGACTGGTCACTTTGTTTCTGAGCTTTCTAAAAATTTTTATTTATACCATTCTTTAGTAGTTTCTATTATTTTTTGAATTCTTTTTAGATCATTTTGAAATATTAGGGTGTGGTTTTCATCTGCTTTGGGGGAATACTGTTCTGATGGACTTTCATTGTCTGTGGAAGGTTACCTGGTTTGTTTTTTTCTCCCTATGATACCTTTGTATGGGGTGTGATCATAATCCTCTGTTGCTCAGGTTTAAATGACATGAATTCTTCTGTACTTTCGGGAGGATTATGTACGTGTTGGGAAGATGTGGGTTAGGGTAGCTTTCCACACTGAACATTTGGGGATCCGTCTTCTGCTGTACCTCTCAGTGTATCCCCCTCCTCTCAAGATTTCCTATCCGTTTCCTCTAGTGTCGGAAGTTTCTCTCTCCTTCCCCCCCCAGGTTCCTGCCCTGCTCAGTCCAGGTCTTGTTTTCCTCAGGGAGGGAGGGCTCTTTCCTTTTGGGGGTTGTGGTGGGTGTTTCAGATCCTCAGGGCCATGCGCCGCCCTGGATTATCTAATCTTCCCTCCCTCATTATGTTTGGTTTGCTTATCTGTAGAGTGGAGCTGAGAAATGTCCCCAGGTCACTGGCTGTATCTCAGAGTCACCTGCCGAGGTTTCTGTTCAGTGAATCTCTCTTGGGAGTGTGGGGAGGTGTTTTATGGTGGTTTCTGGGTTCCCTGGCTCTTGGGACTGTCAGAACCCCTTTGCTCTTCCCTTTACCGCCTCTGCACAGCTGCTGAGTCTACGTCCCTTTAGAGTAACGCTACGGTTGGTGGTCTGACCCTACCTCCTCGTCGTCGTCTGGGGTTTGTGGGACACCCTTTCCACCTGCCTTTGTTAAAGTTGGTCTGGGCCTTTTCCTGAGGAAAGTCGGTAAGATTTAAAAATTACCCTGCTCCCACTGCCTTGTCCCAGTTAAAGGCCCCTCCACTCAGGTTTTTCTTCCTGTCTTTCCACTGAGCGACTCGGGTCAAGGCCGCCATGACCTATGTTTGCCGTCTCCAGTAGCCGGGTC